ATTCTTCTTGCTGATTGGCTGTTGGATTTGATTGGATTAACTCAATTAACACCTGTTCAAAGCCATTCCATTTTGACAGTATGAACTCAAGTGTTTTGGTAGGTACAGCACAGGCCACGAAATACGCATCGATTTTCGAGGGACGTTCTGCGGGAGAGTGCAGGACGCTGTGCGGGACTTCCCTCGGGAGAGTGCGGGACGTCCTCCGGGAGAGTGCGATACGTTCTGCGGGAGAGTGCGGTACGTCCAGCGGGAGAGTGCGGTACGTTCTGCGGGAGAGTGCGGTACGTCCAGCGGGAGAGTGCGGTACGTCCAGCGGGAGAGTGCGGTACGTTCTGCGGGAGAGTGCGGTACGTTCTGCGGGAGAGTGGGGGACGTTCTGCGGGAGAATGCGCAGACCTTTCGCAGAACTAGTACTGGTAATGGGAAACGCCACTGCAAAACTCCTGAGTAAGAAATCTTTCGCGAGATTTCGGTCGTTAATGAGCAGCCATTGTATTTTGAGATTTACATGACACTTATTCCACCTCATTTTTCACGTATTTGTTGACAATTTGTGGACAATACGGGGATTATCAGCGCGGCGGGTCGGCCGTGGGCGATTGATGTTTACTATTTGATACTTTGATATTTGATACCGATTCTTGTGATTCCAATAAACAGTTCACCTAACTAGGTACGAACTAGTTGGAAGAATGATAGGTGCATTGAAAATCTGAAACACTGAAAATCTTACTCAAAAACTGCCAGACATTTTGCTCTTCTCTGTTGGAACAACGCAAGCGGGAGGTCAATGACCTACGCCCCGCGAGTAAACAAAAAGTTAGAAACGCGGTGAAACGCGTAGTAATTAAATCACACCTAGTAGCTCGGTTGGTAACGCGCAGGGCGGCAATTCCAGGCATTGCAAGTTCGAACCTCGGTATATCGAATATTTTTTAACCATTTTAACATTCTTAACAATTTTAACATTTTTTAAAATTTCAACATTTTTAACAATTTTAACATTTTTAACAATTTTAACATTTTTAATAATTTTAACATTTTTAATAATTTTAACATTTTTAATAATTTTACATTTTAACAATTTTAACATTTAATTTTGACATTTTTTTAAATATCTGTTGTTTTGTGTTTAACATTCAAACTCAAGACTGTCAATAACTTAGAATGTTAGTCTTTTGTATTTTTCCAACATACTGGTACATCTGTGGACGTTGCAAAGTGCTAGGCTAGGGTTATGGCTGCAGTCAAACCTGAAGTGAAACAAACAGATCAGCGAATCAACCAAGAAGGGCAGCAAACGCTTGTTCATGCTGCGAAAGTTGAGAGCTTTCTGCCTCCCTGTAGCGGACTTAGTAACTGTATACTGCGGTTTTATTAGACCTGTATTGCGCATCGGTATGGCACCACAGTCTATCCCACCAACAGGCAGCAACTATCGAACAAGTACAAAAACGTGCCTGTCGCACCATCCTTGGAAAGAACTATACTGACTATGCCTCAGCTCTACAACAGTGTGGTCTTGAGACACTGGAGAACAGGAGAGTCAACCTGTGCCGTAAGTTTGCAGTCAGCATGGAGAAGTCAGAGAGAACTGCTGACCTGCTACCTCCAACCCGGGGACAGTCAACCCGACGTGAACTCAGACACTCTACAAAACGGGCTCTCCCTACCACACGTACAACAAGATGTTACAACAGCCCTTTACCATCCCTCTTAAGGCTGTTGAACGAATCGAAATGATATTACTCTTAAATTTGTAAATGTCTCTAATATATTTTGTGAAACTTGTATATGGAATGTAAATGTAATTTTGATATTTAAGATGCAAATGTGAGCAAAATTTGAATCTAGTTATGCTAAATGTGTGTAATATGTTGACTGTGCAGTCGTTAATGTTTTTTAAAAGAAATGATGTACATCTCTGAACGCAATTCAGCTTCTGTTGCAATGTTCGTGATTTTAGCAGAAACCATTTTTAATTGATTGATTGATTGATTGATTGATTGATTGATACAAACCAAAATTACTTTGATGTTGTCACAAAAGTATGGAACTGTCAAGAGAGAAGGAATACGGTGCTCTTCCAGGGTAAAGAATCTACAGAGGTATTACCAGTCACTAGTAGCAAGAGATTGACCACTTTGAATGATGAAGATGAGGACGAATCATATGAAGTACTATTATAGCTAGTACAGAAATTCTACTGCTTTACTTTACTTTCTTTCACTCTGTACATGCAATTAGGTCACCGGCATGATTTTAAAAATAAATGATAATCATAGTATATGTATAGGTTATTCAATGTATGGTTTCATAGTGTGTGTGCTTGTAAATAAGGCCATGTTGATTTGATTATATGGATGACATCTGTGCGCGCATCGGTTTTCGTTCATTTCCAAACTAAGTTTACGACAATCATACAAAACATCTGGAAACTAAGCAAACATACTTCCCGATTTTTTTTCACTAGACCACTGGAACACAAGCGGGAGCTCTCTAGAATTAATTATGTTATGGATGGACTAAATATATCCTTCATTTTGAGCAGGCCCAATTTATTTCCTACTGATCTAGATTGAAGAAATAGGTCAACCGAAAGAGAGATTAGTTATTGATTAGTCTAATAGTCTTTGAAAAATACCTTTATAGAGTGAATAATTCGCCAGTTTAGCTAGTTATAGAGTTACACATACATGGTATACATTCTGTTGCCAGATTAAATCACATGTACGTTCTCACCGTTTGGGCAGGTGTAAGGGGTGAGGGAAGGGACGTTGAATTCGTAACGTGCGTCATAACACTCTGGCGGCGGGATGGGGCTGCAGACTGCCATCTCTCCCCCGCTCGTACAGTTACACTGCTCTAGGTTCACGTACATCGTCTGGCCTTCTGGGATAGGTGGGCCTCCGTGTGGATTGTGGCAGTTCGGACCTGAAGAGAATTAGTTATCTCGGTGCTACACCTAAATATCATCTCCTAGGCATTAACTTCATATGTGTTGCTGCGTGTAATCGATCGATCAATCAATGTACACAAAATGTACACACAGGGCGACAGGTTTGATAATATGTGTGATTTTGGTGACAGTAAGGCTGCAAACAGATCACAAAAAGGTAACAGGTATACCGTGACGTCACACATGCAAACAACAGTATTGCGTAAAATATGAAGATTTGGCGGAGCTTTGCGCGGAGTCATGAAATTCGTACCACGTCATCACGTGATCTACATTCTTACCGTTTGGGCACACGTAACCAGTACCACTAGAGCAGCAAGGATCGAATACCGCAACTGCGTGATAACAGGATGGGTGACAGCGATCATCGTCCCACTCCCTCCGAACACAATAGAGCTATGTAGCATTAAAAAGTAAGGAAAAACAAACACATTTCATGGGCATAACTAGAAAATGACATTGTTAATCATCATATACCAAGTTACTATGATTTACCTTATGTTGGATATAAATTGACCCCTGTTGGGGAATCTTTGTTACACGTTTATATTGTTTATTTACTTAAACATTTTACATTGCTTATTTACTTCAAATTTACCTCGACAGAAGACAATCTGACTTACATTGCGAAAAAATGCCCGAACTGCTTAATTCATTGATAATGTTCTCTGATGATATGACAATATGCCACCCACACACCCCACACCCCACACACACGCCTTATTTTCTGAGCACTAATATCTAGTAGACACACAAACAGCAACACTCAAAACGATACCTGCTACTTTTTTTATTCCAACGTGTAATCGCAAGAGGTGTTGGGGACACACTCAATTTTTTGAAGTTATATTAATGACAATACAATACTCATCTTTACCTAAGCGGAGTGAGGATAGTCGAGTTAAGTGCCTTTTCCAAGGACACAACGTCGGTAGCATGTCAGGACTCGAACTCGGGACCTCTTCGTCCCGAGTCGACCACTCTGCCGTTAAGCCTCCTAATTTAACAAAATACTTTCTAATCACAGCTTACGTGTCCAGTAGTACTGTCGCAGAAAGCACCCGTAAAGCACTGAGTACGTGGTATAGTCTTAAAAATGGGGTATTGCGTCCCGCACCCTGGGTGTGCCGTCGTTGTTACCGGCGTCACCACTTCAAACTGGCGCTACGGTCTGTCAGCTTCTCCCAAACAGGAGGACAGCAGAACAGCGCACAGGGCACCGACAACTAGAGACCCCATATCTGGTGACTACGAAAAGGTAAGGGCATGCTTGAGGGCACCGGTGCTGCACCTAATATATCTAATAATCTATAACAAAAAGGTTTTTGCGTCGGTCACAAACTTTTGAATACGTAACGCTATACAACTCTGACGAACGTTTTCTATAGTTCTGTGTTCTTAGGGTGCTCACATAACATGGTACTTGATTCATAACAGCATTTTTGAACACGATGACATTCAACTTGATCTGTAATTAAAGTATGAGACCAATGAAATACTATAATCATGAGAAGGATCACCAATAGACTAGAATGATTCCTAAAAAAAAAACAATCCTCTTCTTCCTTGCACAATAGTGTCAATTGCTTGAAAATATCTCTAGACCCAAAGATACAAACACGTTTAGCTTACGGCGTTATTGGAGTGTATGTCTGTTCCATGACTTTCGGCTTTCTTTTTCTTCCTTGATGGACATTCCTATTTTCACGGTTGATAGGACAAAGAAAAATGTTTTCACAGATTCTGTCATAAAGTTTTTAATTGTCAGCCTATCGAGTTACATTGCAAAGAGAAACTTAAAGCTGTAAAATTTGATGGGATGGCACATTTATGATACAAGATTCAACTGTAATTGACAACACCAGCAAAAATTGGACTCACCCATTTTTTTTACTGTACCACTTCAGTCTTTGTCAACGAATGAGCAATCTACCGCTTCCGTGACGCCACACAGATAACACGCGTGACTCCGTGAGCAGTAGATCATAGTTTTCAGAAAGTTCGTGGCGCCCTCCGTCCCTGTTGAGAGATGGTTGTAATGCCCTGATGTAGATGGCCTCCTTAATCCCTCGTGCGAAAAAGTCTGACTCATACTTTATCCAATGAGACTGAATGTCCAGGCAATTCAATATGTTTATGTTGTGAGACTTCCGAACAAGACGAGCTACATGTAGGTCGTGTGTGTTCTGAACCTAGCCTTGAGAGATCTTTCAGTCTCTCCAATATATGTTTCTTTACATGGTCCCTCCCATCTGAGTTCTGTCCTTGACACTGTATGTGGTAAACTACCCCACATTTATTCTCCTTTTGTGTTTTGCCCAGTATATTCCGGAGACGAGGGGTGCCAGAAACTTTCTGCAACCTCTACTGCTCACGGAGTCGCGTATTATCTGCGTGACGTCACAGAAGCGGTGGATTGCTCATTCCTTGACAAAGACTGAGTTGTACAGTCGAAAATTTGGGTGAGTCAATTTTTTTTGGTCTTCGCAATTACAGTTCAATCTTGCTCATAATAACTTCTACCAACACAGATAAACTTTCAAGATAGGATTTCACAGTTGTTGCTTGGGGCCCAATTTCGGAACGATAGCAAAAACTAAACGTTTATTGCATAAGGTTCTCGCGCTTTTCCAACAGTTGTGTAAAAGTCCAGATCTTTGATTTAACAACCCTCACTGTAGTAATTTTATTGTCCTTACTATCTATCACCCAAATAACAAAAGAGGGTGGGGTTGTGTGGAATAACACACACATGCACAGATTGTTCGGTCTGGAACCAAGGGGTCCCGGGTAAGAATCCTGCTATGTCACTAACCTTGTGCCCCTGGGAAAGACACTTTACATGACTTTCGTCACTTGAAAAATTAGTATATCTATTGTTCGTTCATTCGTTTCAGTGCCCTCCTCGTAAAAATCAGTTGAAAAACGTCGTCGGTGTGTCGTCATTATGTATTGTGTTGTTGGAATCAAAAGAACAACAGGAGATAAGTGTTTTGCAATCCTTTGTGAAGTACAGTTTATGTTTTAAAATATTGTAGCAACTTATCTGCAAAAACTATCCTAGATATGTATAACTAACGGGCTAAATGTTAAAACAATGACCATTTTTTAATATAAAATGAATGCAAACTTTACACTAGTAACACTGGCTGCAATTTTTTTATTTAAACATTGTAACAATTGTGGTTCTAACTATATCTGTATGGTGTAGCACCAGGTCTGAAATTCGTCTTCAGTGTGAATTTATCGGCTCCTAGATTGTCAACATTCTGAACAGAAAGGGGAAGATCACTTGTAAAATCCGCGTCGTGGTATGTCTAAGTATGACAACAAATCACGCTTTTGTGGTCAGTTAAGCATTTAAAATTTAAAGCTTTTCTCAGTCATAACCTAAAAAATATTAACGTTCGAAAGCCTTCGTCAAATGACCTGATTAGCTCTATGTGTAAAAATGAATTTTCAAAAAAAATCTCACTACATGGAGTTACTTTCTTAGCTGTTAAAATATACCCAAAGTGAAATGCGCCACGCCCGTGTCACACATTCACGAATTTGACCTCCCGAACACTGCACAACTTCTCCCAAACAGTGACCAATCTGACCGAAGACCAGCCAACCACAGCCGACCTACTCCTAACCATGGTTGGAAGAAGCCGAACAGTGTTTGGCTCCAGCCAAATGTTTTAAAATGATTAAAACATTCAGTTTGTTACGTTTTGAAGTATTCCGGATGGCATTGATACCAGATTAGTATTTCTTTACGTTTTGTTTCTTGTATCATTTGTATGTTTTTGTGTCCAGGGCCCCGCTGCAAAGCAGTGCTTAGTCACTGATAGGGCCACCCTGGCTAAAGAAAAGAGAACATTTATTCATCAACACAGTACAGGATTGTCTGGACAATTACTGTATTTGAATGATAAGTTCAATAAAATTACCAACAGGATGTGATAAATATAAATTGGCGCACCTGATCTGAAATAGCCGGGTAGTTTTGCCGTAGGGGGTGTTATTATCCCGTACCCTCTCCTTATTTCTAACGTTACTTTTTTTTATCATGATAGACACATTTGGTAACTTAATTTAATTGTTTTGCTTTGCCGCGGCCGAGCGAGTAACCCAATATTCCCATACTAGTATATGCTAGCTGGGCCGTGGAGACCACATTTCTTCTTTTTTTTTGTCATAGTTTAATGACACAAAGTCATTCTAAATATATCCGAACTTCACTTTAATATAAATGATTTTAACTATAAATTACGTTCTAGCGTTCTCTCTTTGTGGATACACAACTATCACGTGATTCTATGAAAATAATGAAAAACAAAAGCGCGAGTGTCTATAAGCTAGCCAAGGACCACCCACAAACAGACTATGATTTAAGCTGCAGGTTTCGACCCGAAGGCGCGTTAACAGGGCACAGGTGTACCCTGGTCCCGAACTAAAATATGTTTTAACAACAGGGCGAACATGTACAGATTTGACCAAATATGATTTAAACAAAGAGGCATTCAACAAGCGAACACTAGGGTCGAGACTGTTCAATAACTGGATTGAATTTGGTATAAAAGATTTTTGAAAACAAGTAGAATTGCAGAATAGCGCTTGGAAATTGCGTTTGTTGCGAAGGTGGTATGATTCAGAGACCTCGGGTGGGATTAGATCAGTTACGTACTTACGAGCTTGGCCATGGACAATTTTATGAAGTAAAACAAGAGAGTGGACATAACGTCGATCAGTTAATTTTTCCCACCCAAGCTCCTGTAAAAGAGAAAAATACGATGATCCCCTAGCGGCGCCAGACACCGTAAGGGAGCATTCGTGTTGCCGGCATTAAATTGCGGTGTGTGTGTGTGTGGTTCTGTGTGTGTGTGTGTGTGTGTGCGCGCATGTGTGTTGGCAGCTCACGAACCGTTTTTTTTTAACGGTGTCGCTCAATGCAAGGCCATTGGCCACTTGGTACATTGATACATGGTTTGGCATAGAATGATTTATATATTTTTTTGCATTACAGCAATTTTTTCTGGGTTATGAGAGAGAGAGAGGCAAAATAAAAAGATGTAATTCCACTGTCCTTGCAGGAAATAAACAGAAAGAAACGCCAACAATATATAATAATTCCAGTCACGTTTGTTTTTAGTCGATCAGCACCTACCAACGAATTCGACCAATCACGAGCCTAGTTTCGATCACGTGCTTAGATACGATGACGTAACGGACCGAACAAAGACTTATTTCCGCCGCTCCTCTCCAGTTTGTCTCATTTCCAGCCTCTCATTTCGTGACCCTGTCGGTCGACGCCTTTCTGAAGCGTCATAACTGATCTTATCGAGACGTAAAACCTGACCACAACACTGTGGCAAGATGAACCGTCTTCTGGTCGGTGGAATCGGCTGCTCTTTTCTCGGGCTGGTGGTGTTTGTGGTGGGGATAGCGACGACCGCCTGGCTGTCGGCAGCCCAGGGCGGGGCTGGAGCAGAGATGGGATTGTGGAAGACGTGCTTTACTAACTTGGGAGTGACAATCTGCGCAGCCTATCCGGGTAAGAGAAAAAAACAACTTATGTCCAAACATTTTATCGGGGGCAAGACGAGTCTATGACCCCATTCCCACTGGGATAGAATTGTCTCTAGTACAGTTAACTTGTTCACTGCATCAAAGTAAAAGACGAAACAATATAAATCAGAACCTTATATTGCCTCCTCATTTCATGTTCTGCCATCCAGGTTCTAACATGACAACAGACATCTTTGCCAAATTTCGGCATGTTGACCACTTTCAGACAGGAACAAAATTTCTTTTTTTTCCTAAATCAGGCGAAAACTAATGCGTGCGCTGATGTCATCCATAAAATTTGCTTGCTGTGGCCTTAATCCTCACATCGGAATATTATGACCATGTCTTGACATGTAATGATTAGTCTGAGACAGCGCTGAACATGTCACCTTTACCCTAAAATGTATATGTAGATGGACACTTGTTGGTAGACTAATTTTCTGCGTAAAATGTCAGTCTATCTGAGCAAGAAGGTAAATCTACAAAATTATTTTATACCTATTTTCGGCTTTGGAGCATTGTGTCCAATGAATTATGTGTTGGCAACTTGGAAAATGGCATACGTATACAAAATCCCCTTTAAAATGTGCTTGGGGATCGTTTACTGCGTACGCATGGATGCATGAAGTAGGGCGTAGGGTGATGGCTAACAATCAGCTACTTTGTAGCCCGTCAATCACTCAAAACAGTTCCTTTCCTGTTGAAAAGAATCCCTCACTATGCATTAACATAACTTGATATCATTACCATGTTGTCAGGTTGTAATTGGCAAATCCCGCAAATTTCAAAATCAGGCGAAAATGAATGCGATCGCTGATGTCATCCATAAACATTACTTGCTGTGGTCTTAGGGAGAACAATTGGCCGGGGGCAAATTTCAGGTCATTCGGACTTAATATCAATATACCCAAAGTAAAATGCGCCACGCCCGTGTCACACATTCACGAATTTGACCTCCCGAACACTGCACAACTTCTGCCAAACTGTGACCGATCTGACCGAAGACCAGCCAACCACAGCCAACCTACTCCTAACCATGGTTGGAAGAAGCCGAACAGTGTTTGGCTCCGGCCAAATGTTTTAAAATGATTAAAGCATTCAGTTTGTTACGTTTTGAAGTATTTCGATTGGCATTGAAACCAGATTAGTATTTCTGTATGCTTTGCCACATTGTTTCTTGTATCATTTGTATGTTTTTATGTGTCCAGAACCCCCGCTGTTAAGCAGTGCTTAGTCACTGATAGGGCCACCCTGGCTAAATTAAAAAAAACAAAAAAAAAACAGAACATTTATTCACCAACACAGTACAGGATTGTCTTGACAATTACTGTATTTGAATGATAAGTTCAATAAAATTACCAACAGGATGTGATGGATATAAATTGGCACACCCGATCTTGAAATAGCCGGGTAGTTTTGCCGCAGGGGGTGTTATTATTCCGTACCCTCCCCTTATTTCTAACGTTACTTTTATTTATCATGATAGCCACATTTGGTAACTTAATTTAATTGTTTGGCTTTGCCGCGGCCGAGCGAATAACCCAATATCCCCATATCCCCATACTAGTATATGCTAGCTGGGCCGTGGAGACCACATTTCTTTTTTTTGCATAGTTTAATGACACAAAGTCATTCTAAATATATCCGAACTTCACTTTAATATAAATGATTTTAACTATAAATTACGTCCTAGCGTTCTCTCTTTGTGGATACACAACTATCACGTGATTCTATGAAAATAATGAAAAACAAAAGCGCGAGTGTCTATAAGCTAGCCAAGGACCACCCACAAACAGACTATGATTTAAGCTGCAGGTTCCGACCCGAAGGCGCGTTAACAGGGCACAGGTGTACCCTGGTCCCGAACTAAAATATGTTTTAACAACAGGGCGAACATGTACAGATTTGACCAAATATGATTTAAACAAAGAGGCGTTCAACAAGCGAACACTAGGGTCGAGACGGTTCAATAACTGGATTGAATTTGGCATAAAAGATTTTTGAAAACAAATATAATTGCAGAATAGTGCTTGTAAATTGCGTTTGTTGCGAAGGTGGTATGATTCAGAGACCTCGGGTGGGATTAGATCAGTTACGTACTTACGAGCTTGGCCATGGACAATTTTATGAAGTAAAACAAGAGAGTGGACATAACGTCGATCAGTTAATTTTTCCCACCCAAGTTCCTGTAAAAGAGAAAAATACGATGATCCCCTAGCGGCGCCAAACACCGCAAGGGAGCATTCGTGTTGCCGGCATGAAATTGCGGTGTGTGTGTGTGTGTGTGTGTGTGTGTGTGTGTGTGTGTGTGTGTGTGTGTCTGTGTGTGAGGCAAAAAAAAAAAGATGTAATCCCACTGTCCTTGAAGGAAATAAACAGAAAGAAACGCCAACAATATATAATAATTCCTATACGGGTAAGAGAAAAAACAACTTATGTCCAAACCGTTTATCGGGGGCAAGACGAGTCTATGACTCCATTCCTACTAGGATAGAATTGTCCGGATCGAGTCGATCAGTGCAGCATATGTGTGAATGCATCTCCCGTATCTCTAGTACAGTTAACCTGTTCACTGCATCAAAGTAAAAGACAACACAATATAAATCAGAACCTTGTCCTTCCTCCTTACTTCATGTTTATCTGCCATCCACGTTCCCACATGACAACAGACATCTTTGCCAAATTTAGTCATGTTGACCACTTTCAGACAGGAACAAAATTTCTTTTTTTCCTAAATCAGGCGAAAACTAATGCGTGCGCTGATGTCATCCATAAAATTTGCTTGCTGCGGCCTTAATCCTCACATCGGAATATTATGACCATGTCTTCACATGTAATGATTAGTCTGAGACAGCGCTAAACATGTCACCTTTACCCTAAAATGTATATGTAGATGGACACTTGTTGGTAGACTAATTTTCTGCGTAAAATGTCAGTCTATCTGAGCAAGCATCTACAAAATTCTTTTATAACTATTTTCGGTTTTGGACCATTGTGTCCAATAAATTATGTGTTGGCAACTTGGAAAATGGCATAAGTATACCAAATCCCCTTTAAAATGTGCTTGGGGATCGTTTACTGCGTGCGCATGGATGCATGAAGTAGGGCGTAGGGTGATGGCTAACAATCAGCTACTTTGTAGCCCGTCAATCACTCAAACTCGTTCCAATTGGCCGGGGGCAAATTTCAGGTCATTCGGACTTAATATTAGGGCACAGGAGCCAAAAATTTACACAGCTTTAAAGTGGCATTGTATATCATTCTGTAGACATTTGTCCAAGGTATCCCAATACCAAATTTCAGGTCATTAGTTTTTTTAGTACAGGGCTCCCGATCCCAAAATATATAATTTTTTGCCTAAAAATGGCCTAAAAACCAAATAAAACAATTTTAAAGGCCTGTTTAAAAAAATTGTCTGGGGGTATTTGCCCACTCTATCTAGCTCCATGCTAAATTCCAGATCATTCGGCTGAAGAAAGGCAGAGTTAAATCTTCAAAGAAATGGCAGGAGGAGGAGAAACATGAGGGAAAACAATACATTTCTCATTTTTTTCTGGACTAGAATCTTTTCTGCAAATCAGAAAAAAATGAAGCGGGCGAATCCGTGAACCAACAAATTTACAGCATAAACTATATGTATTACAACGTACAATTCCTCTCGCAGTTGTAGATGTAGATGTATGAACGTACATATGGAGCTAATGATACACCGTTTGTCTAATTCCATTTTGTTTCTGTTCTACCTAATAAATTTCGAAAACTAGGAAATGTATCATGACTACAATTATAGAGAATACCGTGTTGTGTTCTGTAGATATCAGTCGGCTGCCCGCTACTGTCCATGCCTCCCGTGCCTTTGCCGTGATCGGAGTACTGCTGCTCATCCCCGGTCTAGCTCTGGCCTGCTTCACCCTGAAAAAGAACTCCAACAACGCCAAGACGATCGGTGGTGGTATGATTATTTTTGCAGGTACGTTTGATATCGTTTCTATATTTCACTGCATACCGAGGTTTGGATGAAATATATTTTTCCCTTTGTATTTCAGTTCATACCAATGTATGAAAGGTTTTTTTTTCCTCTTCTTCATCTTCTTCGTGATTTGATAATTTAAAAATAGTTTTACCAAGGAGGTTGTACTGCATAACCCCCCGATAAATTCGGCTAGTGTTAACTATCAGGACTCAGTCTGCAGCTGCTGTTCAGGGAGGTGCAAGATCAAATTTCAACCTCCCTGGTCTGTCATACGGCTAGGACACTGCAGATTTTCTTGATTTTAACAAGGGGGAGAAATCTTGATGGAATCGGCCAGTTTGCCATTGATGTCGACAGCATGTCATCAGTCTTTGTGCCATGCAGAAAAATGGCGCCGATTGTGGCACTTTGGGTCAATAATGGCGCAGTCTATATTGTAAAATGGGTGGAACGTTTGATGCGGATTTTTCGTTCTCTGTTTTGTCTTCTCCCCATGCTTTTTGTATAAGAGGGCTACTTGTCCAAGAAGACCACTCTTCCTAGGTCCCATGGGCGGTCATCTTAGACGAGTTTGACTGCATATATGGGTTAAATAATTATATAAAATATTGCTCTAGAGGTACGGCAATAACCATTAACCCATATACAAACAAGCTTCAGAAAATTGCTCCTCTAATACAATGGTCTTCTTATATTGCTGCCTTTAATCTTCCAACAGGGTTTTGTGGCATCATCGCCGCCGTTGCCTTTACCGGCTACGCCGTGAATCGCGTCCACACTCCGGGCGTGCCGGTGCCGTTTGGCTACTCCTTCTACCTGACCTGGGTACAGGCGGTCTTCACGATCTTGGGAGGAGTCGTCATCATATGTTCCGGGCGCGGGGACGCCGAGGAAGATGAGCTTCCCATGGTCCGCTAGGGAGTCCTGTAAAGAGGCATTTTGTTAGCCTCTGTCAGGCTTCGGGAGGCGGCTGGAAAGAGTAGAAATCGGCCAAATAGAGATATAACATGCCAGGGGAGTTGGTCTGCACTTAGTTGCTGCAAACTGTTCTCTAAGCGCGGACCAACTCCCCTGGTATGTTATATCTCTATTTGGCCGATTTCTACTCTTTCCAACCGCCTTCCGAAGCCTGGTAGAGGCTAACATTTATTTTGTCACAACAAACTGTGCTATTTGGGTACCTGGGTGTGATTGTCCTTTTCTCAACATATTTGTCAAATTTCTGACATTTATGCTCGTCCCTAAACCAGCTCACCCGAGGCGCTCTCATTTTGTTGTACCACCACAAACTAGCAGAATGAAAACAAATTAAACATGGCTGACGGCTGTGTCTCCTGATTTTAAATACACTCGTAAGGCACCTCCACTTCCTCAATTGCGGTTATTTGCAATGGAGTAGGGAGGGTTTCACTTACTTTGAAAAAAATTGTCCAGAAAAAAAACATTTCCCATCGTCCTGATGTTACATAATGCAGCTTTAAAAGGTGCATTATGTAACATTGTCCTAATGTTACATAATGCAGCTTTAAAAAGGTGTATCATGTAACATCGTCCTGATGTTACATAATGCAGCTTTAAAAGGTGTATTATGTAACATCGTTCTAAAGATACATAATGCAGCTTTAAAAAGGTCCCAAAAATTCCCATGCTTTGCAATTTAGATCTCTTTTGCTTTGTTATATCAGCAGTACAGTTGCGTGTATGCAAGTCGGAAATGTTACGTAACCAGCTCTTTATTGATATAAACTGCTCTGTGGTAATGTTTTTGAGTTTTGATTGTGGTTGAGCACAATAGAATTATAAAAAAAATGTAGGTTCAGCACAATGCAGATATCGCCAATGTATTTTTTTAGGTTTAAGAGGACATAAATATAAAAAAACCAAGTTTGTTTATAGAGAAGTTTCCTTTCTGAATGTATTGTATAAAGGGTTTAGTACATCGACCGTACGTAATTGCACGTTAAAAGAATATTAATCATCATTATTTTGCGGCAGGATTGTGTGATTGTGTATACGCCATACATTCTGTCTGTTCATTCGTAAGCAAGGTAGGATAAGTTTGGTTGTGTAAAAGAATACCCCCTATATCCAACAAACTAACACCTTTACATATCTGGGAAGTACTTTTGATTATGATGGAGGTACAGATAAAGATATAAATAACCATCTCAACAAAGCGATGAAAAAAAAAAGAAATAGTTTAAAATACTGAACAATACACGGAAGTCGCAAAAGTATTTTAAAGTTTAATTTATTCAGTTCCACACAAAATGTACAAACGCAGGGGTTGGCTAAAGCATCCATGAATCGTTCTCTGCATTTACAAAGTTTTATTGATATTCAACGAGCTGAATTTCACTAAATTTTGTCTGTGTAGTTAATACTCTTTTCTTTTACTATTGATGTTATAGAGATACTGCCAATTATACTACTGGCTTTCTATTTCAATGTCAGATCTACGTATCAGTGTAGAGGAAAGCTTGTATATGTATGTGTGTACTGTATAGGGGCTACTTACTGTGTACCACAACCTACAGGTGAATAGTACTAACTGCCATCTTGTATTCCTTTAGCACAATGGACCACACATTTGTACCAGTAACTTGCAGTCATTGCTTTTCACAAAATAAAGAATCTAATGTCTACAAAAGCTATGTCTACGTTCTCAACATTTCTTGATGAAGATACTTGTTCAAACACACCTGTTTTCAGCAGCGAAGATCTGCAAAAGTTATTCAGAATATTGTTAGTGTGAGGAAAAACAAACTTTTTTGCAGACAATTTACTGATAAGGTCTACTGTAAGATTTGCTCACCATGACTCCGAGTCTTTGAGGGCAGCATACTCAGCTGCCTCCTTCTTCTGCAACATAGTAAATAACTCTCATTATTATATGATTATATCACCATCGTAGGACGTTAGGAATATTCAAATTCATATATATGAAGTGCAAGTGATCCTTCTTTCTTTACATAGACAGTATACTAAAAGGAATCATATGCAGCTAGCTTTGGTATTGTTTCAGGGGCATCCATTTCCTTTTTAGTGCTGTTACTGGATTGGTAATAGAACAACAAACGTATCTATAAAGACATTGTTTTTTAGTGTGTTTAATGCTATTAAAAGTAATGAAGTTGGAATTAATACAAACGACAGGGCTGCTGTGGAAATATAAAAATACAGCGTCTTCCTCTACTTCTTAGCTGGTTCTATGTAAACATTTGGTGTTGAACCTCAAGCCAAAAGGAGACTGCCAATGCCAATGCCAGCGACAATGACCACCACCACGGCTACCACGGCTCCAATCACAACACCAATGGTCGTAGCCAGTGCTGTGGATGCAGACAATACTTTTCTCAATCCAGAGGCAAAGCAAGTATCAAAGGATGACTTTTAGTTTGACATTATTTGACATGGAAATGGTTGTAATTAATGGACACACACATAATGAATGCACTAGAATGTATATTCAAAACAGTCAGGATCTACTTGAGATTGGATATGACGGGTTATAAATTCCTATTATTAACCATTAAGAAATAAAAAATGTTTACATTAATCATAAAAATTATTATTTGCATAATATGTTGATGTTCCGCCTGCCATAGATTATATACTAGTACGTGGTTGTCCATCGTATACATTTATTCAAAAAATCAGTTTGAAACTAATTACATGTATAGAAAAAGAATGATCAAGAAAATTTTAGTTGTTTAATTTGCCAGGTCTTTTCAGTTTCCAGAACTGTTTAGTATGACTACAAAATGAACATTACTGTCTAGTCAGGTGTTTTATATCATACCCGGGCCGCGATAACGAATGATAGCGGGTTCGGACCGGGCCGTACTTGACGGTACGGCCCGGTCCGGAACCCGTTATCGAACGCTTCCATAAAACTATTCGAACGCGTTTCGCCCTACCCGCTTGTGCACCTTTCGAAAATTCGAATACAGAATCCGGACGTTGGAATTGATGTTGTTGCTTTTTAGGGTTCAGTGGCACCAACTTTTGGCTCATCTTGCATTGACAGGCGTGTTTTCTTGGGTGGGTATGACATAAATAAAATACAACACGGTGTATTCCGCATCGCCCTCGGTCCCGGCCCTCCCGCGAGTCGGATCGCCCTCCGGCCGATCCGACCCGAGGTCGGGCCGATACCCCGTGTTGTATTCTATATGTATAAGTAATACCGCTAACAACTTTTTAGTATGACTGTACATTAAAAAGAATGTAGCAAACGATATAAGCAGACGAATTATGACTTCCATTCGTATCAATAACAATTACGGTACCAGGGAATTCCTGAGGAAAATAGAATATGTACCATGTGTGACCTGGATGAAGTAGAAAACGAAACACATTTTCTTTTTTACTGTCCCTTTTATGATGATCTTCGAGAAAATATGTTTCGTATACAAAATCACCTGACATCACATGGGAAAGAGATGAAAATAGAATTAAGTCTTTAACGAGGGTGTATCTGACCTAGCAACTTTCATTTATCGAGCGTGGGGGAAAAGAAGAAAATACCTGTATTCATAACACATCAGCAGTTGTCACTTTTTGTTACTTCTGCACGTTTGTTTTCTCTTATTATGTTTGATTTACCTTATGTACTTGTATTTATTTTGTGAACTCTTGGTTTGTACAGATTTGTTTATTTGCATTTACGATCTGCTATGAGTTCACTTATTTGTTCACCATTATTGTATATAGCCTACCTTTATTTGCGTTCATATTTTGTTTGGATTCTGTTATCTGTTCCTTTGATCGTCTTTTGTTTATGTATAACTTATTGAATCGGTGTCGTATAAGCCCACGCGGGCTGGGCGCGGGATAGCGCACGACACGGAAATCAAGTATCATTCATTCATTCACCTACTGCAGACACACATTACTGCTGATTATAGTTGACATTTCTTTAAACTCCAGAAAGTGTGTTCACTTTGGATGAAAGGAACACGTTTTCGTGTTTTGATCTTTGCACCTACAAAGTTACAGTACGAAGACGGTTGTACACACAATATGAAGGTTTAATGTTCCAACACGTCGTACGCCTCTGATGTAGATTCAACCCAAGCTCCTAAATGTCGTTATATATTGGCCGGTTATAAATGTATATTTCTAAAAATTCTTCCTGAAGAAGCTTGTTCTCCACGTCCACAGTGCGTGACTTATCCATTTCCTCTGTACATAGAAACTATTAGATTGTAGGAAACAAGTTTATCTCCTATGATCATGTATCTATAACATGTTTAAGAAAGCTGCCACCATTGACTCAAAGTTTCAAAATTGATATTGTAGGGGCAGTTGCTACATTAGCTAAGATCCAATATTTCCCTATACCATAAACCCACATAACTAACGCGGGATCGCACAGACTGTATACGGATGCGGCGGCAACGTCAGGCCACAGAGACCTTCAGTTCTTGGACGTGGAGCGCCCTCTAGCGTCCTGAAGGTGAAGGACTGCAGCAGGGTCGAGAAGAACAGGAAAAGCTCCATCCTGGCCAGCTGCTCCGCAAGACACACGCGTCGGCCTGGACATGAATGACGCCAAGTTGTTAAATAAGCCACTATCGAAAAGAAACTGATATACAATCATAACTGCGGTTCTAAGAATGATATCTCTACGCCTCACCTCCGCCAAAAGGCATGAAAGATTCAGGCTTGTTGATGACGTTCCCTTCCGCGTCCAGAAACCTTCCGGGGTCAAACCGGTCCGGATCAGGCCAGTAGGCGGAGTCCATGTGGAGGGAGTAAAGGTTCGCTAGTATCTGTGTCAGACAAAATAGAAAACACGTCGATATACGTACATACACACACACTAAAAACATAGCATGTTATAAGAATTTATATTTCTTTCTCGCAGAAAGGAACCACCCCCTGGAGAAGTTAGTAACCTTTTTCTTTCAAAT